CCAGCTATCCCAATTTAGCCAGACTAAATCCTGGACCTCTAGCTATCGGCTCCTCAGCGATTCAAGGAATCTTACCCTGGTTTTGACTTTTAATTGATGAGAATCTTGAAAAGGAATTATTGATTTATCGATGTAATAGTTACTCGATAATTATAACTAGGAATTTTACCTTTTATTTCACGATGTTTTGTTTTGGTGTTAGATTATCGAGGGTTTAGAGAAAATCACGTTTTCATACAGTAGACTAATTGCGTGGCTGTGGTTATGTTTTTACCATTTAAATGTTAAATTGGGTTTTATATGGGACAGTAATTTTGGATCCTGGATTTTATATGGTTGTGTAATGTTATTATCATTTATATGTTAAATTGAGGAATTTGTGTGATAAATAATAAACTATCGACCGTCAATGGTCAATAGTTAACGGGCACACTAACTGACCTCAAATCCTAGATTCGCCGTTGTTGCCCATAACTTTAGAATAGACATAAAGTTAATGCAAAAAGACGAGAAAAAGGTTGGGGATGGGATTGCGACGATAACTTACAGGCATGTTTATTGTTTTACACATTTCAATATAAATTTTGACGAATTCCATGAGTGAGGACTATTTGCTAAAAAAAGGATTATGAAGAAAATGGGAAATAAACATGTGGAGGAAATTATGAATTCATGGAGTCACAATTTATTCTTTTCTTATTCTCTGAGAGAATAAAATGGGAAATACAATAATTGCATGTGATTTTTAGGAAAGTAATATGATGAAGAGACAAAAACCAATCATCCTTTAGTAACCACCAATTTAGATCATATTCTTATTTTATATAAAAAAAAATCTTGAATTATGACCCAAATTATGAAATGTTTGTCAAACTTTGATATATTTTGAAAATATAATATTAAAATATGGCATTTGTCGAAATTACCCTGACCTGCTAAGGCACATCCCGTGATTTACCCCCATCTACGATGCTCTGGGGACGGGGCGGTGGGGTTCAACCTTTTTCCAATTGTAATTTATAATATGGGGCATTGTTTCTAATTAATAAAATACACGCACAAGTCTATTTACTTTTTTATTCTCTTATTTTTTTTTTTTAATTTTATAATACAATATCAACACGAAGTTCTAGCCAATTATTACTATTTCTACTCACGAATCTCTAACCAAGTTGAGGTAGGAAAAACACATTCCTTAACTTTTATTTTAAATATTGTTGTGACGCTACAATTATTTCCAAATCAGAATTTGAGATTATAAGAGTAAATTGAAAGTTGAATCTTCCTCGAATGATTATCCAACGTATTCTTATAATAAGAAGTTCGATTCAAAAACTTTGAACGAGAAGATTATCCACCCAATAGAGAATTTTTAGAGATCATCCATATACAAGTCACTATCATATCACTATTTCTAAGGCTCCTGATGCGACTAATAAATTATTTAACTTAATAAATTTCTTGCACTTCAATTTACTTTAATTATGAAGCGGACAACACACCTACCACTACAATTTTGAATTAACTCAATATGGTTTACCACAGCCTCAGCCCAATCAATAATTATACGATGTAACTAACGTTGGAGATTGTCAATTGAATAAGCGTTCTTTGATAGTTCACGATAGAGTACTTTGACAAATTCGCTTTATTATTGCATTATATTCCAGAGGAAGTGTTCACGATTAAGACGTCTGACGATACATGTGAAAAATTAAAGGACTAATCTCTCTTTGGAGTGGTACATTTGTGAAATATAAAAAATAAAATTTAATTTTCTTTTGACTTCATGTATGAATAAAGTGGTTAAATGGGGTGACGAAACGTATAACTTGTACAAATCGTTCCATTTTTCAAGTTGATACTGCATTTTGTACTCAAATAATTTTTCTTCAAAATATTATTCATTAGCACTTATAAGCAAGTTATTGATATGTCCATAGGGAAACTTGTAGCAAAGGTCCCCAACTTATTTTAAAATGTACAAGGTCTCCAACTTATATTATTTGGCATGGCAAACACATTTCCTAAACTTTTAAATAGAAATTTTATCCAATGTATTGATATTTAAAGCTTTTTTTGAGTGAGCTTGAACTTTTTTACAACGGGATTCGAATTAGGACTTTGCTACAAGTACATCAGGGTGTACATAAGGTTGTCCATAATGGACACCCGGCATCTCCTTATTGGATGGAGTACCAGTGGGGTCGGCACTCCATCCAATAGGAGGGTGCCAGGTGTCAATTATAGACACCCTTATGTACACCCCAATGTACAAGAAGAATAATCCTTATACTAAAGGCCAGTAAAGGGTCCCTATCCCAACATGATTAGTGTTATTATAGTTTTTCAAACATCGTGACAAATCCAATAAAAAATTAAATTTAAAAATAATTGCACAATCGAATAGCATTTCAATTTTATTACAAATGTCCTGCATCGAAAGAAAGTAGCAACTCTATGCAGCTGAGCGGTGAATAATTCAACGTATCGACTCAGTGTTGAGTTTCATATCTTTAATCATATATATAAAATTTAACTTAACGAGTAAAAAATGCTCGTGAACTTTCCCACTTTCAAAAAAATATTGGAGTGCTTGTATGATTTTGCTTGGAAGCACTATCATGAGAAGCCTTCATGCTTAAACAATCTTCTTGTCTTCTTTATGGACTGCAATAAATTACTTTGGATTTGGTTGTTAAGATAAGAAAGTGGCCATTAAAGTATATATGAAATAATAAAATAAATATTAAAGATTACAATATTGAGATTTTATGTGGAAATTTCAAATCATTAACAAATTGTATTGACTTTTTACCCCTTTGTTCGGTCCATTGTGGGACATCAACTCATTGACTACAGTTAAATATTTAATATTTTTTTAAAATTTATAAGTTATTTAGTGGAGATTAAAATTAGATTTTTAGTAAATTGTGCTAAAAGTTTTTGAAATGTGTGGTTGAAAAGTTGTGGGACCCATAAAGATATGGTTAATATTGATTGTGTTGACTTTGACTTTGACTTGGATTAAAATTGAATTTTAATCCGGACCAAACAAGGGCTTAAATGGACATTCGATTCAATTTTCTGTTTCCCCGAACTAAGTATAAATTTGAATTATGCAAAATTGGACTGAATCGACCAATCCAAGTTGAGGACTGGCCCATAATTCAATACTTACATAATTTATATATAGTTATAGTTAATAATGAGTTATAGTTAATGCTTGCCTAACCCAAAAACAAACCCGTGACAAGAAAAGAATCCAATCAATTATAATTAATAATAATTATAGGTAAGTATGTTGTTTAACAGCTGTTTGAACTTTAAAGAGTGGAACTTTCTTTTTCCATAATTTTCTATTTTACTCCATAATCATCATATCGTTGGAATAATAACATATCGTGATAAGTGGACCCTAAAAGAAGAATCTAGGAATTTTGCACTCAAAAAGACTATCGAAACCGAGGATGGAGAAATTGTGAATGAAAATCGTGAGCCAAGTGATTTTTTTTTTTTTATCAATGCACTCTCTTGCATGTAATCGTGTTAATGGCATTGCTTTGAAGCTTTAGATATCCCTTACTCAATTGAATTCCTCTTTACCGCGGAATTCTGATTTTGTAAAAACGCATGAATCAGAAGAGCAAAATTCTTCGTAATTGATAGAAAAAATCAAAATAGGGAGATAAAAAATTCAAATAAAAATATCAAGATTCACTTGCTCAAAATGAGCAATAAAAGAACCCAAAATTTGATTAGTTGAAAATCGACATCTATCTCTATTTATCCGGTTAAAAGAAGGGTCTCATAGCCTTTACCTTATTTCGAGGAGGAGAAAAGGAAGTCAACTGATATCTATTACAAAAGGTATCGCAATGTACTAATTCTAATATTTCTATAATTGTTGATATTCATATAGTGATATCCACTATAAGTCTTTTTCTTTAATTTTGTCCTAACTCTTAATTATTTATTTTTCGCTTAAATTTAACTTGTATTTAAAAATAAATAAATAAATAAATGAGAAGAGAAATGAGATTTTAATCATTGCTCCTCTCCTTCATTTCCACTTCATGAAAATTCTTAACAATACAAGGGATAGGGAGTGTTAGATCTGTCTGAACCAGTCTCGCTCGTTGCCATCTCTACTAATTGACAAATGGTGATAATTGCACTTCCAAAATTATATTTTTTTACATTAGCACAAAGTGACAGATGGTAATGACTCCATCCGCAAAGGCCAAACGGTACAATTGGTGCGTGAATGCACAAACCTAGGGTTTGGAGCACGTAGCCATTAAAAGCACAAAGAGAAAATGAGAAATAAAACTGAACATATCGTATCACGAAATGAACGCTTTATCTTCTCACCTGTTATAATTAACTTAAGTAAAGCTGTTAATTACGCTACTAAACCCACTTAACAAAATAAAATAAAAAACCGCCATTTTTTTTTCTTCATTTACCCTTCATCACAAACAAACGAAAACATTCCACTCTCTCTGTAACCCTCTCTCTGCAAGAATTTCAGAATAAATTTTTGGTTTTTTGATCTTTTTCCTTTACTTACACTGTCTACCTCTCTCTGTTTCTGACACCAAACCTCTCTTTGAGTCCAAGTTTGCCCCATTTTTGGGCTTCTTTTGAACTTCACTCTTTGATGTTAGAGTGGATTTGCCTTTCATGGGTTGTTCTTTTTTTTTTTTTTTTTGATTCATATATTTAGCCTCGAGCTTTCTTTTTTTGAGTTTTCTTAATTTTTCCTTTTCAATATCAAGAATCTTCTTTTCTCCTTTAATCCTTTTTTTTTTGTTCTTTGATAACGAGTTATCACCCACATTGTGCTCTTTCTTTAACTGTTTGCATTGATTTTTAGCATTTACTGTTGCAGGTCCTTTTACTTTTTGATTCTTTTTGAGTTTCTTGAAAAGTTCTATTTGATAGGTTCTTTAAGTTCATGAGAGTGTAGCTTTGCGTGTATGAAGAGTAGAAGAAAAATGGGAGTTTTTGCTTCATTTCAAGTTCTTTTGCTCTGTTTACAACTCTTTCTTGCAGTCAGTGATGCATTTCCAGTAAATGAAGGTAATGTTTATTCAGTTTTGTGTGATTTTTCACAGATCTTAATTCTTGATTCAGTCACTTCTCAATAATTTGTGAATATTTCTACTTTTTACATTAATGTGGTTGTTATTTGATTTAATTCTGCAAAAATAGTAGATAATAATTGTTGATAAATATAATAATTATGTATAGCATAAAGTAATTGTATATTTTACGGTTTAGTTCATTTTTCTGACTGAGGAATTTGTGGGTTTTGTCAGTTGAGGCTTTAACGTCCTTCAAGAGGGCTATAATTGAGGATCCATTACTGGTTTTGTCAAATTGGAACCCGCTGGACTCAGATCCTTGTGACTGGACTGGCATTTCTTGTTCTATGGCTAGGGATTATGTCATAAAGCTGTAAGATTTTTCTGTCTGCCTAAGTTCATTTGAAAAGTTTGGTCAAATCATTACACTTATGTGTATGCATTCATTGCATTGCCACATTCTTGATTACAATTTGGAAGTGATAGCACTATACTTAAAGTGCCAAACTTGAATTCTCATTTATGATGCTGCTCCATGTTGCAGTAACATATCGGGGGCATCTTTAAGGGGTTTCATTGCACCAGAATTGTATCTACTATCAAATTTGCAAGAATTGTAAGTTTTGGGGTTTTTTTTTAAGCTGATTTATTAGACTTCTTTTAGAACTGGGATGTGATTGATTTAAACTTTATGTCTGCTGTTGATTAACAGAATTTTGCGTGGGAATTTGCTAATTGGTACAATACCTAAAGAAATTGGCATGTTGAAAAACCTCAAGGTCTTGGATTTGTCTTCAAACCAGCTTACAGGAGCAATTCCTCGGCAGATTGGAAATTTAACTATTGTTATGAAAATGTCAGTGGTGCATGAATGTTAGATGTTTAGATTCTAAGTAGACTTTTCCTTTTCATTTCTGGCTTTTTCTCATTGTTGTGGCTTCTATTCTTTTATAGAAATCTTCAATTCAACGGGTTGACTGGAAAGTTGCCTTCTGAGATTGGAAACTTGAAATACCTTGAAGAACTTCGACTTGATAGGAATAAGCTTTTGGGAACCATCCCTGCTAGCAATGGCTCGGCATTTCCATCCAGCACTCGTGGAATGTAAGAAGATGCATTCTTTCATGATTGTTTCTAATTATATGGAAAATCTAATACATTTTTCAGTGTTGTCAAATGGTGCAATGCATTGTATAATCAATGGTCCATCTATTGCTGAAATTTTTTGGAGACTGATGCAGATGGAGTCTAGACATATCTGCATTTCTGTTGCAGAATGTTTAAACCTAACATTTCAGTACTTTTACCCTTGTACGAGTTTCTTTCTGTACGTTGAGTGTATGTGAGCTTGTATCATGGTAGAAATCCTATTTGATTGCTGAGGTTCATTCAATATTCAATTTCCAACTAGAGCTTGCATTTCAATCTCGAGAATGCATTTTGTAATATCGTTTCTTCATACAATTCTATTAGGTATGCTTCAAGTGACCGCCCAATGGGTTTTTGTTTATCATCCCAATTAAAAGCTGCAGATTTCTCATATAACTTTTTTGTTGGAAGCATTCCCGAGTGCTTGGGGTTTCTTCCTAGGTATTATATGTCTCTGATTTCACTTCTTTTCTTTTCTTTTCTTTTTTCCTTTACCTTTTCCTTTGTGGGTTTTAATGTTTACTTTGCTTTATAGAACAAGCTTTCAAGGAAATTGCCTCCAGGATAAGGATATCAAACAACGTTCTACGGCACAATGTGGTAGGTGACAAATAAACACTTGAGACTTTCGAATAAACCCTCTGTCCCCATGAGGAGAAAGGTCAAGAATTATATTTTACGTTTTCATCAATTGTAAATATAAATTAACGACAATGACTATAGAATGACTCAATTGTGCAAGTATCTGCTTGTGTTTCTCTGAAGTGGCCTGTCTTGCGTTTTGGTTAGATTTGATCTTCATTGACTTAATCAAATAAATCCTATGAAGCTTCAATTAAGAAGGCATTGGGAGTCATCATAAATCAATTATTTCATGTGGCTAATAATGTCAAAAAATTTATTCAAAAATTTTATGTCAGGTGGTGCTCCACCCACTAAAAACCATCCAGTAGTTAACACCAAGCATCGGCCTGTAGAAGACAGATCCAAACATCATGTTAATTCGTCGAAGCCTGCATGGCTTTTGGCTCTTGAAATAGTGACAGGAGTTATCGTGGGTTCTCTCTTTGTCATTGCTATGCTCACTGCAGTTCAGAAGTGCAAGAGCGAATCTTCTATCATTATCCCTTGGAAGAAATCTGCAAGTGAGAGGGACTACACTACGATTTGCATAGGTTAGACTCGACCAACTGAATTCTATTCCTGTAACATTTATATCAATTCACATATGAAGCCCCTATTTGGTGCCCATTGTTTTAAAACTATTTGCTACAGGATTTTTTTCAACCACACATCCACACTAAAATATTTTGCACGTAAATCCAAAACTTTTCTCTACTCTTTAACCACACATTCTCCTAAAAACTTTTTTCTTTTCTTTTCTTTTCTTTTTTGGGAGATAATGGGCACCAAACAGGGGCGAAGTTTCAATGCTCTATTGTGCTTAAATTGAGTGAAATCCATAAGCAGATTCTGAAGTACTGAAGGATGTCGTGAGATACAGCAGACAAGAACTTGAGGTAGCCTGTGAAGATTTCAGTAACATCATTGGATCCTCTCCAGATAGCCTGGTATACAAAGGCAACATGAAAGGTGGGCCTGAAATTGCTGTTATATCCCTTTGCATCAAAGAAGAGCATTGGACAGGCTACCTCGAGCTTTACTTCCAGAAAGAGGTATCTCATCTCACTTCATTGAACAGTTGGTTATTGCTGCTTGTGTGTCTTATGAAATGTGTGATTAAGTAATGTTATTGCACGGTGCAGGTGGCAGATTTGGCAAGACTAGATCATGAAAACACTGGAAAATTGTTAGGGTACTGTTCAGAAAGCAGTCCATTTACAAGGATACTAGTGTTCGAATATGCATCAAATGGAACACTTTATGAGCACCTTCACTGTTAGAATTTCTTTTCCTTAGTTCTCTCTTTTCTGTTCGTTTAGAACTTTTTGATGTAATCCGAGCAGCTTCCATGAGCTGAAAACTGAAGCCCTCTGATTGATTATAGATGGAGAAGGATGTCAATTATCTTGGACACGGCGTATGAAAATTATTTTAGGCATTGCAAAGGGACTGAAGTACCTGCACGAGGAACTTGATCCACCATTTACAGTATCTGAATTGAATTCTAGTGCTGTATATCTTACTGATGATTTTTCTCCCAAGGTGAGGCCTGATCACTTGTCAATCTGTCTGTTTGAAACCAACGTTATTTCAAAAACCATAAATTTAAAGTTCTATTCTACTGCTGTATATCTGGCTTTTATGATGCGATGTATTTTATGTATTATGTATGTAATTTATGCACGTATGTATGATTATCTATCCTAAAGTTTTTTATCTTTGCGTGGTAATACTGTACCTCCTTCATACGCGGATTCTTATTATGTTATTCCTAACTTCTCCTGCAGCTGGTTGACTTCGAGAGCTGGAAGACTATTCTGTCACGTTCGGAAAAGAGCTCGGGTGCCATCAGCAGTGAAGGTGCTGTTTGTGTTCTTGCAAATTCTTTGGAAGGGCGTCATCTTAATATCCAGGGCAATATCTATGCATTCGGGGTGATTCTACTGGAAATAATCAGCGGGAGACCTCCATACTGCAAAGATAAAGGCTGCTTAGTGGATTGGGTAGGAATTACGCTTGATCTGTTTTCGTGGAAAGTTGCCAGAATGTTTGGATAAGCTTAAGAAGAAAAACTGAACTTAGCTTTTCTAATGGTAAGTCTACTTTTTTGCTGCAGGCTAAAGAATTTCTAGAAATACCCGATGTCATGTCATATGTCGTGGATCCCGAGTTGAAACATTTCAGATACGACGACCTGAAGGTGATATGCGAAGTGGTAAATCTGTGCACCCATCCAGAGTCGAGCACCAGGACCTCCATGCGGGACTTGTGCTCCATGTTGGAAAGTGGTATTGACACATCCGTACCTGCTGATCTCACAGCATCTGCTTCTCTGGCATGGGCCGAGCTTGCGCTTTCTTCATAACAGACTTAAAGCTTAACACCTGCAAATCAGAAATAGACAGTAGCTATACTTTTTTTTTTAAAAACCTTTTTTTCTCTTCTTTTTGATCTTCTCTGATGTCCATTGAGTTGTTTGCTGCTTGTAAATCTCGTATGGTGTATGAAATGTAGGATTTCTGCTAGTAAACCTCAGTGCTTGCTATATTCGTAGCCTGAGTTGTGATGGGTCTTTAGGAAGTGAATGAAGGCCTTATTCATGGCTGTTCTCATACATCCTGTCAATGTTTCTATTTTCTTTGGTTTTTGCTATAGTTATCTGCCTTAATTTTGACATGTTACAAAGGCTATACAACTATACAATACATAGAACAAGATTTTAATTTTCTTTGCCTTACATAGAGCCAAAACTTTCCTGTGATCTGGAGATGCCCTCGAGATGGCAATAATTTACTATCCACCGAACAATGTGTCTACTGGTCAACATCATACACGAGAAGCAATGAACTCTAAATTTAGAGAATAAAATTTAGTTTCTTTTCGTTGTATACAACTGAAAATTGTCATATTTATACAAGAAAATGGAAGCACGTGAATTGCAATCGAATTGAAGCGAATTTTCATCTTTACAGCTTGCAGAAGTTTAGCATGAGTCGAATTTATTGAAACAAATGTCTCTTAATGTTTGAATGCACAAATGATAGTCACTTAATCAAGGCATCCCAGAGCACCCCTAAATCAACATTGCCTCCTGAAATTATAATGCCAACATTGTTGCAATCCTCCCAAGCAGGGTTTTTTTTGAAACCATCGGACAAAACAGCTGCCAGTCCTATGGCCCCACTTGGCTCCACTGCAACCTTCAAAATTTCGTAACAGAGTCTCATTGCGTCTATTATCTCTTTATCTGAGACGAGTATGATGTCATCAACCAAATCTCGAACAACAGGCCTGCTCGAAGATGAGGTATAAAGTTATGAAAGAAGGTAGTACACCAGCAGAGACTAAATGATTTAAGACCATAAACAACACCAATACGAGGACTTGGTAGCTTCATAAACTAGACGAACATTCAAAAGACTTGATCCAGACAAACTAAAACATTAAGTGCATGTTAGTTATTATTAAACCGTACTAGACAATATCATTGATTTCTTTTTCCTTCAACAATGTACACTAGTACCAATCTACTTTATTGAACATGAGAAAAATGTGCTTACCTTGTTGAATAAACTGAGAAAAAAAACCCAGAAAGACAGTAAAATTATGTATTTCTTAAAGCCATGGTATCGGCATTATCATGAGAGGCTTCCAAGACTAGCTCGAAGCCCAGCAGCTATGGTCTTGGTCTCGGGTTATGTTACAATACGATCAGAGAGGATTCATAACCATTTATAAAAAATTTCCCTAATGTCTTGCCTATAAAGCCTGCTTTTTGTTTTTTTTGATAGGTATAAAGCCTGCTTTTTGTAAAGAACTCAGAGCAAGAATAATTCAAGCTACATGAATAGCAAAATAGATTTAACAAAACAAAAGAAAACAAAACAATTTTATATATAGTTCAGAGTTTTCCCCTACATCCACCGGAGAAAGGCACCAGATTTTTTCCTCGTTACCACAGTTCCAAGAATTGCACCCTCTACTCAAGCACAAGGAAATCCTCCTTGTTTGTTTCATGTACAAGAAACCTCATAAAAATTATCTGAGAAATGGACTGTCTTAATTGATTCTGACTTTTATAGAATCAACTGTTACCCTCTGTTATGATTCCTTTAACTGACTAAACACTTGATCAACAGAATTTCATTTTGGCCAAGTCTTAAAGCAACGATCTTCAACTTACACTACTTCACTCCAACTCCTAGGCACATGTCTACACAATTAATTAGCCATGTTATCAACAATCTCCACCTTGGCTAATGTATACTGTATAATCCAATCTACTTTCCCAAGTTTGCCCCAACAGGGTCCCAACAAGGCAGAACATTAGCTAACTCCAAGCAATGTTTGGGTTGGCAATGCTTTTGTCATCACGTGTGCCGGATTATGCTCGGTTGAAATCTTCTCAACTTTGACATCCTCTAGGAACAAAATGCACATCCATGTACTTTGTTCTTTTGCGGAATACCTGATTCTTTGATAAATGGATTGCAATTTAACTTTCACAGTGCACCATCCAGCTGAATTCCAAGCAGGTTATGGTGTATCTCAAAACTAGAAATAAGTGACGTGCTAGACCTATTGTCAAGGTATCCGGCAAAAACAGAATCCACAAAACCAGCTACTATTCTGCCATTTTTATTTTCCATACCATAAACCAAACTGGTGTTTGAAGATCCCTTTAAATATCTTAACGCCCGCCAATTCTCATTTCCTGGCTTTGCCTTATACCTACTCACAAAATTTGGAGCTTGGGGTAAATCTGGTCTTGTGCAAACCATGGAATACATGAGACTTTCAACAGACTAGCATAAGTAATTTTTTGCATTTCCTGTTTATCTTCATTCGTGGATGGTGAATCTTCTGCAAAAAGTCTAAAATGTTGTGCTAAAGGTATACAGATTGATTTAGAAGCAGACATGTATATGATGTAGCCTTTTTGAGATAAAAATGAGCATTTTTCTATCTCTTCCTATTTCTAATCCCAGAATTTTCTTGTGGAACAAAAGTCCTTCATTTCAAATTCTGCTTACAACAACCTTTTTAACTTTCTATCTTCTGCAATATTTGAGCTTACAACATTGAATAAACTTGAAAAAAAAATAATCCGAATTGCATATATAAAAAGTAAAAATTATGTACTTCTTGAAGACATGCTATTGACATTACCATGTGAGGCTTCCAAGAAAAGCTCGAAGGCCATCAGCTACGGTCTTGGTCTCGGGTAATGTCACAATATGATCAGCTGCTTTGGATCGAGCAGCATCATCTGCTCCCTTTGGTTCGGCAGCCAATATCCGAATTGCAGGGTTAATAGATTTGGCAGCTAATGCCACCCCTGATATTAAACCACCTCCTACATTTTTAAGACAGAAAGATAAAACGTGTGGACCAAGAAAAGATGTAGTTAACAATTTACTCTTGAAAGAGTTTAACATACCACTAATTGGAACAATTATAGTGTCGATTTGAGGGGCCTGCTCCAGAAGCTCCAGAGATATGGTGCCCTGTCCACTAAAAGTAGAGTTCGTATCATGAAAAGATTCTCTATTCATTTAATGTCACGGATCCTATTATGCAATTTCACTAATTCAAGTAAGGTATCAAGTAAATGAGATCATAGTACTACCTGATCAACCTAAAAATATGATTATATATTACTACGGTAATCTAGAAAATGGAATGACATAGTTTTGAAAAACAAGAAATTCATCTATGCTATCCATATTCCAAAATATAGAAATCGTAACAGAGAACTGTATGCTCAGTCTAAGGTGGGTACCTTATGATGCGTGCATCATTGAATGGGTGAACAAGAACAGCTCCAGTGTCTTGCAAAACCTTTGCGGCCATTTCCTCCCTAGATTGTACAGTCACCTCACTCCAGAAAATCTGGCCACCATAACGTATGACATTCTCAACTTTACATTTTGGAGCATTTTTTGGGATGACTACATATGCAGGTATTCCCCTTAGTTTTGCAGCCAAAGAAAGTGCTGCAGCATGATTACCACTGTTTTTCGAAGTTTAGGATCAGAAATATTTCAACTAATAAATCGAGGAACTCAAGATACTGAACAAAATAGCTTGGAGTGAAGTGAACCTGCTATGTGTTACAACACCTTTAGTTGCCTGATCATTGGCAAGTGAAAATACAGCATTGCAGGCCCCTCTAAATTTAAAAGCTCCACTGGTGTTATAAGAAAAGTTGAAGCTCTTTAATTACGTGCTGGAATCCTCTTAATAGAAGGACAAATGATTAACTAGCATGAAAGAATGAAAATTTATACTTATTTTTCTTCCACACATCAGTAGTAGGCATCTCACCCTTTTTGGAAACATTCACATTTAAAGTGTAGCTTTCTTCCAGATATAGAATTTAGAGTTTCCGAGGACAAGACGGGAGTTCTGTGTACAAGTGAGCTGATGCGCTCTTGTGCTTCTCTTATTGAGGATATATCGGCAGCATACTTTTTACTGGATACTTGATCATTTGCTTCCATTATGCACTGCCCAAGAGATAAGTTCGAATCAATGGGGAGGCGAACTAAATCCATGTTGGGTCCAACCCCCATTGGACAATAAGCTAAAGCTACAAACGGAATCCCGCAAGGACCATGTTGGGGCAAAAGGGCCATATTCGGATGGCCATGGTCGGCGGTCGTATCGTTAAAAAACAAATGACGACATAAATGTGGATGTACAAAACTTGGAACCATATGATATGAGGAATGAACAAAGTGCATTTCCTCATTTAAGAAATCTACTTACAGCTTCAGTTAAGATAAACATAATATAAACATTTTTACACAGTCATAAATTACTTGTCAACATGTGTACTTCCAAGAAGTTGAAAGGGCAGTAATAAAATTCCAATATAGGCTGATCAGAAAGACTTCAAAGTCAAATGTTGTATGACTGTGCTTGGCCACATCAACCCATTTGAACAGAACTGAGAAGACCACTGGCATAACTTTCATTAAGGTGGTAGGCTCAGCTCCTACTTAATCTAAATATGAAATCTCACCCTATTGACAACAAAGAACTCATCACTACTGCTAGGCATATATAATGCAGGGTATATGATACGAGGAATGAACAAAGTGCATTTCCTCGTTTAAGAAATCTACTTACAGCTTCAGTTAAGATAAACATAATATAAACACTTTTACCCAGTAATAAATTACTTGTCAACACGTGTACTTCCAAGGAGTTGAAAGGGCAGTAATAAAAGTCCAATATAGGCTGATCAGAAAGACTTCAAAGTCAAATGTTGGTTATGACTGTGCTCGGCCATATCGACCCACTTGAACAGAACTGAGAAGGCCACTGGTATGACTTTCATTAAGGTAGTAGGCTCAGCTCCTACTTAATCTAAATATGAAATCTCACCCTATTGACAACAAAGAACTCATCACTAATGCTAGGCATATATAATGCAGAGTACAAACATTTAATGCAAAGTATGAGAGCCTTTTGATGCATAGTCAATAATAGGACACTAAGCCCCTGTTTGGCATCCATTAATTTCTCTTTCTCATTTTCATTCTCATTCTTATTCTTCATTTCAACCACACAATCTCCAAATAAAATAATATTACACACAAATCAAAAACTTTTCATCACTTTTCCACCACACATTCTCACATCAATCACTATTCTAAAATTTCTATTCTCTTCAAAATTAGATTCAAACACACCCTAAGTCATCCTACTGTCATGTTAGCCGCACATCTCCGTCAAAGGAGCAGGGATGTTGGCCACTGCAAGCTCTTTAAGCTGACACCTGCCACTGAATGGTATCCCAAACCTCTGCTATCTCTTTTATCCCACTCTCCTTTCTTTTGTTATCTTCTTTTTTGTCCTCCTCTTTCTGCTTGCTCCTCTAGTTTTAAACCTCGATCATTTCCCTACCCAATTTTAAAAATTCAATTAATCAGTCCGGAGCCATCAAAAGATCCTAAAACCTACCCTATGGGAGCTATCTCCATTTTTAAATAAATATCCCTTTTATCACAAGTTCTCATGTACACAAAAAACTCAAACTAAGCTAAAACTCTGTCAATTTGATACCAAATTATAAATCTCGTATCTGACTTGGGCATCAGATTGTTGTCGGCAATCCACCTCCTTTTTAAGAAGGCCATGCAGGGCCACAC